TTGTTCGGGACCAGCTGGGTATTGGTTGGTTGGTGGTGAGCAACTGGGGTTTTTTGTATCACTTTGGTGGGTTTTTTGTTGTTGTTGTTTGGGTTCTTTGGTTGGTTTGGGTTGTTTGGGTTTTTGTGGTGGTTTTTTTTTTTTTTTTACTCTATTAAACTGTCTTTATCTCAACCCATGAGTTTTTTTACTTTTACCCTTCCGAGTCTCTCTCCCCCATCCCACTGGGGGGTAGTGAGTGAGCAGCTGTGTGGGGTTTAGGTGCCTACCAGGGTATAAGCTCCACTTGGCACAGAGGTGCGACTTCTAGTGACACAATTTACAGCTTTGGTGACTGTATCCAAGTCTTATACTGGTAGCAGACACTATATCTCGAACCATTCTCTTTAAGGTAGAAGACTCAATTAGAAACATCACTTAAAAGAAGTGATTGAAAAGAATGCAGCAGAAATCTTTAATGTCAAGCTGAAAATACAAGTTGTATAGCTATCTTTAAACTTTGTGTATGATTTTTAAAGTGGATAAAAATCTAAGTTAGCCCCTCTTTCATTAAGTGTGGTTATATGTACTTGTTACACTTTCCCTGACATAAACGTCTCTCAGCAGTCCATGTCTCAGGAAAACAAAGCTTTCCCAATGTTTTCTAATGCTCTTAATTACTTGTGGTCCTGCAGCCCAGCATAGGTAAGGGAGAAGTAGGTGTCTCAGAGCAGAGGTCTCTAAACTAGCTCTGAACAAGCTGCTCTACCACTGGAAGGCAGCAATGCTGGAGCGCTGCTCCTGAGGCATCGTGCTGTGCAACCGTGCCTTCCTTGGCCAAGTCTGGTCTTGAGGGAAAACGGGTCAGAGCTCCTGCCTCGGCCTGGAAAAACTGCTGCTGTTCAGAGGGGGAGCAGCACTACGTCCAGGAGGTTTGTTACCCCCTTGCACAGACAAACACGCCTCTCAATTTTTTTCTGAGTAAACCTGAGGACAAGGAATGGCCTCTGTCCACTGCTAAAGCTTCCAGCTGAAAAACGACAGTATAAAAATCGGTGGTGGGAGTGAGGAAGTGTCATTGTTTACATCACTCATTTTGAGGTACCCAGAGCCCTTGCAGGAGCTCACAGTGCCCCAGCAATGACACCTTTAGCCCTAAGTTACCCTTGGGTTTTGTGTAAGGGCATGGGGAAAGAGGTACACCTTTCAGCTCATTTATTTTGAGGCTTAGAAGGAGGTAATGTGAAAGTTAACTCTGAAGACAGTTTGTAAATGACACGCTCTAGAGATCTGTGTTGAATAGTTGGGGGTTTTTTAAAGAAGAAAGTATTAGAAAGCAACTAGCAATCTATGGAGCACTTCTGTCATCTAACTCTCCATAAGACATTGCACTTCAGGAGAGAACACACGTCTCAGAAGGTGGTCTAAGATCAGAAGAACTACTGGTGGAGACATTTCTCCATGAGATGGTTACTTGCTCCAAAAAGGACACAGCAGTAGCAAGACAGAGCGTTTCCTTTCCGAGGATCCTGGTTCCCTTTATTTTGGAAATGCAGGCAAGAATGGAAGGTCCCAATCACTGTTTGAGCATCCTGGGGAAAGTACTACCGAGTCAGCGCCTCTCCTCAAGTCCTGCAAGTCCCGGCAGTCTGGTGGTTGTAATATCCTTAAGCACAACAGGCATTTGGCCGCTAGGAAAGCAACTGCTGCCTGAGCTACCACAGCAGCCCGCCAGCTGGAAGCATCCCACGAGCCGCCCATTGGCCCATGCCATGTAGCATGGTATTACTTTGATCGTCTTTCATGTACACAAGACTTGTTTCTACTAGAAAAGTGACTTATATGGTGAATACCACCTCTGGGAGTAAAGGATCTTTTGCTTATTTTACCCTGAAAAATACAAGCAAGTAACTGCTGGTTTGATTTAGCCTTAGCAATAGCTTTATTTTCTTTGGTGTAAGCCAATACCTATGTGCTCATTCCCTCCCTTCTAGCTGCTTTTATTGCAAAACTTCTATATCCTCAAGAATGACAAGCATAGTTCAATTTGCCAGGCTTTTTAGGTAAGAAGCATCTGTTATTTCATTAATTACCTTTCTTCAGGGTCAGAAAGCCAATGGCTTTAGCATTTACTATCTCAATTGGTGGATGTCACTGTGAATTCAAGTAACAAATTTCTGCCCTTTATCTAAAAAATTGCAAGTTCATTATAATTTAAAATAGTTCCTGCTCCACAAATGAGTTCCAGGCAACTTCTGAGATTACCTACTACTTCATAGTTTTTTGCCAGCTTGCCTTCTAGAACCACCCAGCATCTCTCTTCCTTTATGTAGGTGAACTTCAGAAACCAGTTTTGGGCAAGGAGAGAAACAATAATTAAAAAAAAAAAATAAAAATGCACAACCACGGGAGTTACATATTTGTTGTACTGATATATTCCAGGCTTGTGTGGTTTTTACATTTATATAGTTTACATTTTGCTTGACCCATAAATAACACTTGCAAGATTAAGAGGGCCATAGTTTAGAGAGTATTTACATAGCCCCACCATGCATACAGAGCTTTTAATACCTAGTAGACAAAATTAAGATGTTTTGCACTAACAGTTTTCAGTATTTTTCAACTTAAAACCCCTGACTAAAATACAAGCAATATTTCATCCATAATGCTGCTGTTAAACCCCTAACAAATCTAGTTTGATATTGTAACAAACTTCTTCAAATTCAGGGATATAAAAATATTCAGCTTTTAAAATTTTAACTGTACAATATGTACATTAGTATTTGCACTGTTAAATTATGAATACATTTAAGCCTATGAAATACTACATTATAAATATCAATGTTTTTTGATTTAGAATTGCAGCTAATACATTTTAAAACCTGGATAATGCATTTGAAAAGACACAATTCTGGAGCCTAATCCTTTAAGCCCTTATGAAAGTATTTGTTACGTAAGTAGATTCATTGACTTAAATGGGGTTACATGCCTGAGCAAAGGACTCCAGCAGTTGTACCTCTCTCTCACTGCTGGGGGGTGGGGGGCACGGCCTGAAAAACAGCAGCACTCATTGGGAGCTAAGCCCAATTCTAGCAGCTGAATTAATAACTTCCTTTAAACAGGCACAAACCCTAACCTTACAGAGGGATGGAATTCTTAAAAAATTGTGGAGGGAAAACCATGTAAGTTAAACGTAGAAACCATTTACTACTGCTTTAGGATACATCAAGGCCTCAGGCATTTCAGTTCTCACATTCTGATTTTTGCCTCCTTAATAGTGGACTCTTTGGAAAAGGAGCATTTTCCCAAATTAAAAACAGAATCCATTTTTTTAAGGAAACTTGAAGGGAGAAGAGTGAGCTTTATCAATGAAGAAAGGGCACAGTATAGAGCCTTCTCTGTCTTGGCAGTAAGAGGAAAAAGTCAAAGATCACCCTGTGTGGGTACAGCTAAAGCACAAGACTGAGTTTTATTGATCTATCTTTGTTGAATCCTCTCTCTCAGATAATTCCACATAGGTGAATTGCGAGCATAAAATAAAATGCCTACAAAATGTCTGTATCAAGAACTGCATTAACAGTATTTTGACAGCTGAAACATGATATGTAAACCTAGCAATATCTTAGCAGATCATCATTTGTGATGGTGACATTTCTGAATGTTACTTGCACACGGTAAACTCTGGCAGGGTTATCATTTACACTGGCAAAGCATTAAGAACCTTAGCAACTTGCCTAAGTACAATTATTAATACAAAAAGATGTGGTTCAAACTGTAGTTACAGAGTTGACTGGTCTTCCCAACTGTTAAAAAGAAATTAAGAAATGATGCAATTTTTTCCTTTGTGTCCCCTCTTCTTCTTTGATTTGGTTGTCCTTTGTCCAAACTGAGAACTAGATAATGCAGTAGCTGGACCAGAAAGGTCATCTGTATAGTATGGATATCTCAGTGATCGTGGCTGTGGAATTGGCTGTCCTAGAAAATATCCTTCCTCTTCAGAATCGGACGATGAGGATGAAGTTGAACACCAGGAGTCATCTTCCTCACCATACAATCCAAAAAATTTATCGACCACCTGATTCCGCAGTGCATAATCAGACCTAGTATGGGCATATTGTCCATACAGCTCCGCATTTTGAATATATGCCCGAATCTCACGTGAGCTTCTATTTTGAATAAATTTTTCATGATCCTGAGGGGAGTAATAACGAAATCTCTCTCTCGGAGAGCATCTTCTTTCTGTGGCCAAGTTAAGTGCATTATCTGAACGAGACTTCCTGCTTCTTCTACGATGATGAGAAGGCCGATTTCCACGCTCTTCAAAATGGTAAACACGCCTACGAGTCCTTTCACTCATTGGAGGCTGACGTATTTCAACATTCTCGTAACTTCCATTATCAATAACGTCATCTGAAAACTTCACTTGCTGTGGTCTAGATTGGGATTTAGATCTTCTCAGTACAGGCATATGCACTGGCTTTTCCTCTGGCAAGACCTTTTCCTGACACAGCTCTGAGCTCAGACTCTTCAAGGACTCTGTGCTCCGGTGGAGCATTGACGAATTCAGAGTTCCCATGTTGCTCATTTTCTCACAGTCCTCTACCTCCAGTTCTTGGAAAGTTTGCAAAGAGTAGAGAGATGGCCGTGGCTTGCCTTCTCCATCCATTGAAGCCCCTGTGGTGGGAATGGAGAAAGGAGAAGAAAATGAGAAGACTATCAAAGAGATAAGTATTATAACAAAATTTCAGTAAAGCAGACCTTATTAGTGTTTTTTGGAACTATTACCAAAAGGACTAGCTTCCTAGAAGAATAAGCTTTGTTTTGATTTAAAATACTTAAGTATTAGCTCTGATTACCAAAGAATTAGCTGACATTAGGACATCAAGAGTGGAAGAAGTTTAATGAGTTTAAAATTTTTTAAACAGCTCTAACACGCATACAGCTAAGACAAAATAATTACTTAAAATTATTCTACAGTCTGTGCTTGCCATTTTTAAGGCTAAAATATTTCATGTTTCTGGTATGGCTAATTTCAATATTCCAGCTGTTGCTACAGGAAAGCCAGGCTTACTGCCTCACAAAGAAGGATCCTTACCCTCCAAATCATCAGCAGTAAGCAAGCTGGTCTGGTTTACTCCAGGTTTTTGTCCAATGACCCTTCATTCCCACAACAGCAGTGTCATCTACCCTGTGACCTTCCCAGGTGCAATACCTCTAGTTCATCCTCCTCCTCCTCCCATGCCCCCTGAACCAAGCTCCTTCGTTACTGCTTGGTTCCTTCGTTACTGCTTGGGCAACGCAGCGTATGGTTGGCCCTGAGCTGCACCAGTAGCTACAATAATTCAGGTTACAGGAGGAAAGGAATGGAGAAGAGGATGGGACAACTTTTATAATGGGTCTCTTGTACCTAACTCCCAGGTTTGGGTTTTTTTAGGGAATCAGGGAAGGAAGGTTAACATGCACACACACACAGACACTTGCATAGCTGACTTTTATCCCTTTGGCTAATTTCAATCATATTTGACAAGGAGGTTCACAGAAGTGGATTATCAGTTTCTCTTTAGTCAATGGAGAAAGATAATCTCATAAACCTCATTTCCTACGGCTAAGAAGTTTACCATCCTTTCAGATTTTCTACATATTTTCTACATATTTTTACAAGCAAATCAGGAAATTACCTAAAGTATTTTGCAGATTATCTTTAATATTCTCCTAGTATATGATGCAACTTCTTGTACTTAAGGTATGGAAAAAAAAATACCTTCATTCGCTTAAAGCGGTGGTTGGTATAAAACCAAAGACCGCTCCTACTCTAACACTATGGAATTATTTGTTATAGGCAAAGGAAAGAGAATTCAAAAGGAAAGGAGAAGACTTTTAATAGAATTTACGCGACAAAGTATCTTGAGGAAGAATATGTGCTTGTTAAAAGCTATTGCCTACTTTACATGCACCTCTTGCTACTAAAGCTTTTTAGAAATCACAGATATGGAAAGTTGTAGTTCAGAATACTCCAACATGCATGTTTTGGTTGACCTGTCCATCAAAACCATTCATTTCCCCACCCCATTACCTGTTATGTTAGACAAAGCCAAAGAATCCATTGAGTCTCGAACACTTTGTTCTTGCTGTTTCAGGTCAGACAAACATTCGAGTGAACCTCCATACCATGGTGTTTGGTCGTGTTTGTATCCTGACGCCCCGTGTTCCATGTCTAGCTCCTGGATTTTCCTGCTGCTGGCAGGGCCTGGGTGACTGCCGTATGCAGAGTCACCCAAGCCATCCTGTGACTGGGCCCAGTACATGTCTGATTGATACTTCTTACTTGCTAGGCTTGGGTTATTTTTTTTCAAGTCCAACTTGCTCTTGACCATGCTGTCAGAAATCCAGTGTTCACTTGATCTAATGTCTACTTCAGCGGGCTGCTGGAAAAGGCTTTTATCACCAAACTTCAGAAGAAGTTGAGTCATGTAGTCTTCATGTTCAGCCCATTCTTCAGGGTCTTCAGGCATTTCTTGCTCTACTCTTCCTTTCCAGAAGTCTTCATTAACAAAGCTTGCCTCTTCCCTTGAAAGGCTTAAATCGTCCAGCTTACGAGAAAGAGTATCATCAGCATTGCCTGAAAGGCCAGGAAATTTGTAATTGACAGCTGGTGACAGGAGGAGAGACTGGCGGCACTGGTCGGCTGACCGGCTGCTTTTTCCCATGCGGACGCTCCTCCTGGAATCTCTGGATCGAGCAGACTGAAACGCAGAATCAGAGGAGTCGGAAGCATGGACATCCTCTCCCAAGCTGCAGGTTTTTGAACAGTAAATCTGCCCTTGCTTTGGAAGGAAAGGGCAGCCAAGCAAAGAAGTCTTGCACTGAGCACAAGAAAAGCAAGTCTCTGTGGCATGCCAATGCTGTCCATCATAGGTCATCTGAGCGTGGTCAACACCTGGAAAGGGAGAAAAAGCAATGCCTTGGGTTTCTTCAAAAAGTTACCTGCAGAATCCACACTTCTGGAATGTGAAATAATTTCATAATTTGTCTTTGCCTTAATTTGTAAGTTTTATGCTTAAAAGGGACATGCTTACCTATGTGCTCCCCACAGGTCTCACAGTATTCCGCATAGAGAGATTCAAAGCAGTTACAGCAGAATGGTCGCCCGTCCTTCATGATGTATCTCTGTCCACCCAGGATTGTTTCACACTCGAGGCAACAGAAGTGCTTCATGTGCCAGTGGCGACCCTCGGCTTCTGTACACTCATCAGCAAAAATGATCTTTTCAGAGATAAGAAGCAAACTTTCAGTTAAGTGGCCAAAACCTCACCGTGGGAGTTAGAACATGCAAAATACCCTAATTCTGCAGTTCAAACTCTAAATTTATTTTTATTTAGCTGCCTTTTGAATACAAAGAGAGAAACAACAATCTCCCATTGCAACTGCAGCATTCTGACCTTTTCTATAACAAAAAAAAAAAAAAGAAATAAAAAGAAAACCTACTTTTTAAAGTGGAAAAAATAAAGAGAACATAAAAACTCAACCATTAAAGAAGCTGCTATCAGAATGACATTTTGGAGTATTTGTACACATCCTTTTTCTAATTCAATCTACAAGAGTCAATTCCCAATACAAACAGGCATGAGCTTTCTAAATACCATCATATTCCTGGTAATGCTGCCAACTTGACAAGAAATGAAACACCCCTCAGCCTTCAAACACATCTACGCAGCAGAGCCCTGACTTCTTAAACGACTGTATTTGAAGTTAGTAATTGCCTAAGCGATGCAGTTTGATAACTGAACCACAGGAGTGTAAATGGGAATTATTTACCTCATCGCAGGCTGAACACCGAGGTTTGAGAAGTTCAGCGTGATGTCTGCCACAGTGAATTTTTCCATCTTGGTAGAAGTAGATAAGGTCAACGAGCAGCTCGTTGCACGTGAAGCACACAAAACATGAGGGATGCCAGCACACACCAGGCCCAGCTCTTGAGGCAAAAACCGCAACTTCACCGCCGTTTACTTTCGTACCACACTAGGAACAAAACCAGAAACTGAATGCACTGCCCATCCCAAACTACTAGCTTCTAGCATTTAAACGTAAGTTAAAACACCAAGCCAAATATGCAGGTTTTATTCCAAAATTCTAACAATGGGAGAAAAAAATATTCTCAATTTTGGTCTAGACAAACTCTGTGCATCAACAAACCTTTTGTGAATAGAAGTTTAATTTATACATAATAATATTTTTGATATGCCTGGTTTTTGTTTGTCATTGCTTTAGTATGAGTCAGCACCAGGGTTTTTTGAGTAAGAAATACATCAAAGATTCAGTTCATATCCAGTATCAAAGGTGGTGTTTTGCTTAAGCCAGCACTACTTTCTTTCTATTCAAAAATACTTTTTTTTTTTTTTTTTGGTGTTCCAACATAGAGGTAGGCTTACATTTAATATTGAGATACTGTAGTTTTTACATTATTCAGCCCGCTAGTTGGCTCGCGGCACCAGCACCATTACCTGTTCACAAACCGCATGCATCACTGCTCTCGAGAGTAGTTTAATAGTGCCTCGGCCGAGTGCCTCCTTTTTGCGCTGAGAACTGAACATCTGCAGTTCCTTCTTCTCTTCTTCACTTAAAGACTGGCAGTATCTCACCTTCCAGTGAAAACACAGAATAATTTATTTTAGATACTGAGCTTTTAAAGCGACAGATTAATAAGTAAGTGCATATATGCCAGAAATTCATCAGGCATGCTGGCAATCATCATTAAACTTTTCCAACTTGTCTTCTCTACCATCTTAGTATTTCGCTAATAAGGCATAATACAAAAGTAGTATGGAGGGAGATTTTGCGTTACAGGGGAAAAAACCCATGATACTAAACTAAGAAGTTGCCTAGGCAAGAAATAAGGTTTTTAAAAGCCAACCCAAAACCTGTTGCTGTCCTAAAATAATGGAATGACCTAAATCAGCCATAACATTGTCCTTTAGATTTATGGTTAAGTGCCCGCAACTAAGTATTGCAGTATGCACAAGATCTTAAGTATTGACACCCCCGCCCCTTTCCTTACAAAGAGCTTGTTTGTTATTTCCACTTCTACTCCAAATTACGCTGCATATCTGAGATGCAAACCGTTTACTATCACAAAGCATCCTTTTTGTGTGCTACAATGCAATTCCAGGAATTTGTAGGTTCCTGGTAATTGGTGGGTGGCTGCAAACACTATAAAACCAACTTGTGTTAAGTTTATTGCGGTGACACCAGCCTCCCTAACAAGCAAAGGCAGTGTCCTTCCAGACAGCTCTTATCTGCACACCAGCCGACCGGACAGCTAAACAATGGGCTCAGTGTACACACCGTGCTGCTTTATAGGTCAGATGCCACTGCAGGCCGCGGTTTAGGCTGCAATAAATACACAGGCAGGTAATTCTCCATGTAAAAGCTGCCAGGGAGGCCTAAGCCCTGACGGTGCATCCTAAATTCTGTATTTACCTCATTATCGTGGGGTGGCAGCTGATAGAGAAGTTGTTTAATTCGGTGTTTCTCTCCAGGGCTGTTAACGTAAGGGACCTTCTCCTCTGGCAAGCAGGCGAAATACAGCTGGACCTGACCAGGAGGAAGGCAGAGTTCAGACCGAGGGACACACCATCACCCAGGCACCACGAGCATCCTTCAGCTACTGTTTTATCTCAGGTCTCATTTACGAAGGAAGAACGTTACGCTACATTAGACCTGTGACAGACTTTGTGCTTGAAAATACGAGACCCAGATGAACCAGCTCAGCAAACCTGGATCGTCTCTGATAAAACTAGCACCCAGCTGCTGAATTGCTTTTCTGGAATGCGATTTGCACTGACAATTAGGGGGGTATCATAAATTATGCACATTTAATGTTCTCATTATTCCCACCCCCTTCAGGGCTGGTCAACAACCCCGTGGAAATTCCAGGTTTCCCTCTGCAATTTACCACACAAGGCATGAAGCTTTCCAGAAAACAGCCGCTATATAAACAAATTTAATTTGCTCTCTGCATTTTACACATTGTTGAGACAAAAGCTGTTTTGTAGTCTCCTGCTGATCAGGTTCACCCAAAGCATCAGCTTTCATTGCTTCCATGTGGGCTTTGGTAGGAAGGTGGAAACATCCTTCCCTTGGGAGGAGGCTGGATCCAGCCACATTTCAATCAGATGCAAATTACCTACAAAATTTTCACGGGCTGTATGTTTTTGATAAAGAAACCAATATTAGGCGTCCACACCTATCAATCTTCACTTTTTTTTCTTTTTTTGTTTCTTTTTTTCCAGAAAAAAATTATGACAGGAAAGCTGTAATGAACACTATGACAAAGCCCAATGGCAAAAAATATTTTTGTGGAACAGCTACAGATTTATTGTTTTTCCTATGCGGTTTCCAGCTTGTCACGAGGCCTGGGGCTGTAAATAAGAGCTGACTATTGGCAAAAATATTACTTGCCATCCAGATTTAAATAATGCTCAGGTCAACAGCTTATTACTGTGCAAGACAGATGAAAAAGAAGCAGTAATCAGTCACTTGACTCAGGAAGCAATCAAAATTATATGGGAAAGGTTGTACGAAACATGACTCGGTCTTCATTTAACCAAAATCAACGAGTTAGAAGTCTACTGTAAGCCCACTTACTGCTGACTGTTTCAAGAAGCTGCAGGAAAAGAGAACAGCATGCAGTAAGAAGTGAAGCTTTAAAGACACTTTATGCCCTTATCTCAAGTTTATTGCACTGTTCTCAAAATAAGTCATTCTTTGAAAAAAACCTGTAGTGAGTTCAAGCTAGCTGGATTACGAGGATGTTTGAGGGCATTTAATTGTTCTGGCAGAACGTTAGCTTGCTGTTTGCCTTAAGGCCTGATTCATCCCGATTCTTATATATGCTTAAATAAGTGATAAAAAAAGAGTTTCCCTAAAAATAGCCCATCATTTGCCATTCCTGAGTTACTTTATACATGATTAAGAAAATCTCTGCACAGCAAAAAGGAGATGTCTTCCGCACCTTTGTAACTACAGACTGTATGAGCTTGCCAGCTGAAGGAGGGTTGCTCTACCTCCATTAGCAGATGCTACAAAGCCACTCTGACCATTTCACACTGAAGTCTGAGTTCTGGGTGTTACCGAGTACACAGCTTCAGCACAGTTCCGGTATCACCAAGCAAGCAAATACCATAAGAGGTTCATTTTGATCTGCCACAGCAACTTGCTCATCAATAATTTCACTTTTATTTCCATTACTGTGATGTTAGAAAGGATAAAGAAGAAAGGGGAGAGGGGAAGGAACAGCCCGACTGACCCACAAGTGTCAGCTCCAGAGACTGTACAAGTGAAATCCCGGCATGAACAAATGGCAGGCATACAACTACTTAAACAAGCGTAAAATACATTACTACTTGTCACAGTGACAGAACACTTTCATTTATGTGCGCTGTAGTAACATACACGTTCTAGACGTCAAATGCCTAATTATTTAAAGAGTTGTACAAGTGCAGTGAAGTACTGGGCAAGTAGCACAATGCCACGAGGTATGCCATGAGCTTTAATTTAACCTAACAACTTATTTCAAAGAGAAAGTAAATTTCTATGCTGCTTTTCGACTTGACAGTACATACCTCTGCAGCACATATTTATTGGAAAATCTTAACTGGGAACTTTTTTTTTGGAACATAAATCTCCTTGGTGTTGAGGACTTTAAGGTCCCTAAACACAGCCTCATTGAAATAGGAAACAAACCAAGAAGTGTTCTAGATGAATTTAAGTTTTATACATTGTAAGAATTTAATTAGACTTGTAGAGGCAGGGTATTGCTCCCTTAGACAGTCCTTACACGGCTTGTTTTAAAAATGCAGAAGGCACAGTTTGTACCTGCTCAGGTCTGAGGCCTGGGGGGACCCAGGCATACTCTTCCAAGGCACAGCCAGAGTCATCATCAGATGTTGAGCTTCGCTGACATCCAAAAACGAGATTGTTGGCTTTGGGCTCCATCTCCAATGGCATAAGTGTGAAGCGTTAAATATTTCAGCTGCAGCTCATCAAGCAATTGATCTGGAGGAAGAGATTACCAGAGCTTTAATAAATTTGAACATGCAACAACTAATTATCAGCATAAATCATCTTACAGCAGTTTAGTATTCTTTGTGTTGCCCAGAACAATAAATGATTGAAGCATCGTTACAACTTGCTACAAGCAATTCAGAAGTGCTTAAAAGAGCTATAAAAATAAAACTACTCAAGACAAAGAAAACTAGACACACACCACCATGTTTGGCAACCACAATGGATTTCAATATTAACACCTGTCACTTTTTACACCTCTGCTTGTTTCGTGTCACGGCTTATATGTAGGTCTATCTAGGAAAGCCGCGTTGAGCAGACATTAACAAAAGGAATGACACAAGCTCTTCCTGAAGTCATTGCTGCCACCAATCTGGTAACGCAGATGTGACAACCGCTTGTCAAAACCTAAAGAAATCGTTGGGGAAAGACAGTTGTGCAAGTAGCACCCTGTTTTTCACAACGTAGGCACTGAGCAGCGAGCGTCTGCTGGATTCCTCCGAGAACTTTGTTTTAGCTGTATCGGAGCCGGTCCAGTCAAATATCTGAAATCCAATTATGCCAGATTAGGCTCTGTAAAATACATCATGATTGTTCTGTTAATTTAAAACCCTACAGGGAGATGCTTCTGTCAATTCACGAAGCCTGCAAAGCCTAGTATCACTGGGATCACTGAGTCACAACTGGCAAAGGCGGCTCTCACCCAGATCCACAGCATTCTGCAGTAAAAAGCTTATTAAGATAAATATCTTACATTAATTCTAGCAGAAGTTGTCAGGAAATTCAGATCAGGAATTTCAGTGAAGTACAGATAACCAAAAGCAGAGAGGACGTATCCTACCATGACAGACATCCTGACCACTGGGGTTAGAAACAAGCTTGCTCTTACAGTACAATGTTACACATGAGCTGTGCCTTCCCCGTTTCAGGCAATTCTTTCACCCAGTCATCTAAACGCAGATGCAATTTTGTCAGGGCTAGATCTGAGCTGTAGTAAATGTTAGCCTCCTTGACATGTAACCTTGCTGGTGGGTCTAAAGGGGAGAGCAATCTAAAAACTTCTGGTGGGTCCCACATCACATTTCCAGTCTCATCGTCGCCGCATTAGAGAAAACAAGTTGCTGCTAGATCACAGGAGAAAGAAAGATTTAAGACTGCGTACCCAAGTATTCTGCTAGTTACACAGCAGGAGCTTCTCCTCCTCCAAGCACAAGGCACTGGTTAGTGCCAGGCTCTGTTGATTCAGTACGTAAACCCAAACCTGCTCCATTAAAAGCGGTCACCTGCATCCACAGCTACGAACTCGGAGAAATGACGATATTCAGTCTTACACAGTCTATCTACCCCCAGTTTTCAATAAGTTTATACATTCCCATACCCAGTAAAAAGGGAGGGGATTACTTAACTCTTCCACTGGGCTAGCGCTCAAAAAAATTAACTTGTTTGTTAACTTCACTCCAAAAACTGCTGGTTCAGAAACATATGCACTATTATGGTACACTGCTAAGACGCCAACACACTTCTATTATGCTGCATAGCTGCACTGTAATGAAAGATTCATTTAATATTTGATGGGGCAAGCCAATGTCCTCCTGCCAACCTCCCCTTTAAGAGCAGGCTATTTCTACAAAGCTTGTGATCTGTCAGGCAAATTTCTGAAATCTTACTGTAGCTGAACAACTGAAGGTTGGCAAAACAGCTTCTGAGCTTAGCATCACCACGTTACAATCTCTGTCAAGGAAGGAGAGTAAAACCAAACTCAATCTAAAAGCTCATTCCTATATATTTAAAATAAAAAGTCATCCTGGTACATACTAGATCTCTTGAATTAGTTTCCTTCAGAACCAAATGATAAGTGATACAAAATTGTTTCCCCTCTCCGTGTACTACTGGAAATGAAGTCAAGCATCAGGTATGTTTTTGATATTGTTTGTATAAAACTGGGGTGTGAGGAAGGAGGGACAGAGGAATACAGCTAAGAAATCACTCTAGCAAAAGAAGCCAACAGCGCTCACTGTTGCAGACAGATGGGGGGGCTTGGGTTGGCATCTCGTGTCCCGCATCATCTTCACCAAATAATTCTTAAGTATAAAATCACTGTGAGTATCATTGAGAAGCCCAAGTCCTTCCAAGATGATCTTAGCAGCCCATGAACTGTTTTACAATTTCCCTTCGGAAAGAGGTAGATACCCGGTTTACAACAACGTGCCGCTCACTGACGCCTAAGCTGGTATTTCCACTTCTTACGGCACTGCAACACGAGAACTTGTGTTGGTCAAATGGTCACTTTTCAGGAACTGACTCCTGCCCAGTAACCCAGGAATAAAAGCAGTCACTAGGCGAGACATCTTTGCCAACGTTTCATTAGGCAGCCCGACCTCAACCGCACCGCAGGAAACGGATCTGAGATGTAGTTCAGGCAAAGAGACGGGTTGAGCTCTGGCAGTCCCCGGGCACTCGAGCAGGGTGCGCGCCTGGCTCGCTCACATGACACCCAGCACTCACAAACACACAGGTAATTGAGTCATTGCTTCATATTGATTATTCAAAAACCTCTCTCCGTAAGATCAAAGATTAACTTCTCTGACTTGCTTTCTTCTCTTGAAAGACAAGCACACAACCCAAAATCTGAATGCTTGAAGACTTGTTAATTTTTCTGAGGATTTTTGAACGCTCAGGCTGCATACATACCACACTTCTACGCGGCAAAAAGCAGCGCCGGGGAATGTTGGGATTTCAAGTATAGCAAAGGTATGTAAGTGCAGGAGCGTTGTCTAATTCCAAAGGGAGACAAGGCACTGGTATGAGAGAGACCACGCTGCTTTTCCACAGGGGCTGATCCTGCCTGGGCCACCTTTGACCCATCCGTTTCAGACAGCACGCACTCCAGCCCCAACAAGAAAAAAATCACAAACCCACAGGCTCATTTCCCGGTGCTACTGGGCAGGTTGAAAGTATGGTTAGTAGAGAATAAAGGGAAAATACGCCTTACCTCCAACTGTAAAATGCAACTTTACAGTCAGGGTGCTGCTTCCCAGATAAGGCGACCAGAAACGTTTAAAGTGAGGTTCATAAATCTCAATGAACTGAGATTACTCAAAGGACAGCACTCACTTTAAAAGAAAAACGCTACCACCGAGCTAATGTTAAGCCAGCTATAAAATGACTGGCAGTACCCCATATATCAATACAGCCATGTCACAAACATTATGGTGTTGCTGAGAGTAAGGTTTCTAAACCAGCCCGGCTTAACAGCAGGCTATCTGCAGAACTCTTTTAGCAATTGCTTGTTTAGGAGTCCTCCTTCCTCTCCTGCTTCAGTGTGATTTGGTTTGCATTTTTAAACTACAGGGTTCTTCCTCCCTGCCCCCCAACCGCACTCATCCTTCAAAGTGATCTGTTTAAAATGATTACATCCTAAGGAGGATTCAAATGGATATAAACAACAGCTGAAAAAATAAATGCTTTCTGTGGGATGGGCAGAAAGGTGGTCTTTCTACTCCTGCCATGACATCTACAAAACACAGCAAGGACGTTTTGTTTTGCTTTCTTGAAGTCTGTGGAACATTTTGAGGTTTCAGCTCTGTTCAAATACTACCTCTCAAAAAAACCTTCACACAAGGAGGTATTTCACTGGCAGCTTGACAACTGTGAATAACATAATTGAATCAAACAGCTAAATTTGATTTGAAAAGAAAAGCAATTAATACTTTTTTTTTTTCCACTGATGTATTAAAATGACAGTATTGTGACAAAGTTCTTAGAAGCGAAGACAAACTGCACTCCTAATTACGATCCTGTTGGTACACAAAATATTAGGATATCAAACTGGGAGCAAACCTAGAGCTGAACCCCGTATGAAGGTTATCCCCGTGCTAGGATTTCCAGCTCAGTGATTATGTTCACCCCTGACCAGATAGAAGAGGTCATGATTTGTGAGCACAGTTAGACAAACATCTCCTTGCCCATCCCCTGCTGTTTTACTCTGTCCTGCAGGGCAAATTGTTTAACAACTTTTTTGTTAGAAGGCTTGTTAACAAGGCTATAGGGGATACAAGATGCATATCACATGCATCCATTCACAATGGAGGCTCAACGAGTTAAGATTAGCATGGCCAGCCCATTCACCTGCTTATTTAATCCCTGGTGCATAACTACATCAGAAGAGGAAGGGTGTAATACAGTAGCAATCAACCACCATAAAATAACTATTAATAATTTAAAGACTATTTCCAGTATATATTATGCCAACGATCGGAAAGTCCCATTGCCCAGCTACAGTGCCAGTAACCTATTTCCAGACAGCCCTCTGGCTCTGTACTTGGGCAATCTGGGTCCAGAGCTGACGAGCAGAATTTGTGTCAGCACCAGCACACAGCGACTTCTTCAGCTGTTGGGTCCTTTGAGTAATGAACTATCCAGAGCAGTGGGGCAAGGAATGAAGCCTGTGTACTTGTTATTCAACAGCCCTTTAGGTGGACCCTAGAAGTAAGAACTTTTTCCCTTTTCCTTAGCCAGCATACAAGGACCGACCGCGGAGTTAACTCCTTTAGCATTCTAAAGCAAAGATCACTTTTCCAACTGGAAGTCGGACGACCGTTCTCAGGGCATTTTCTTTCGACGAGCCATACTGCAAAGCCGGGCTACCTGCCTGAAGGCAAGGAGGAAGCACCGTGACGAAGCATCGCCCCACGCCAACCCATCTGAGGTGGCCGCACCACGCTCGGCGCCGGGCAGCGCCGACGCGAACACAAGCGCACGCTGCGGCGAGGCAAGACCCAAGCCTGGAGCCGAGGAAGCGGTATTCTCACGGATGCTTCTCCCCTCCCTCCTTACGAGGGTGTACAGATTTAGAAAGAAAGAAATCTTGCCTTTTACAGTCTCCCATTGATTTTTTTTTTAATTCTATTTTAAACAGCAGCCAGACTTTACTCCAATGTACACATATACTCAGGTTTCACCCCGTCACCTGTTGGCTCCCGAACAACACCCTTCTTTGTTAGGGCTCACAGCCCTCATTTGAGACAAGTTTCCAGAGAAAACACTTCAAGAAAGTGTTCAGTAAGTCACAAGACTGGAGTTACAACAACAACAACAAAAATTCCGCGCATAGCCCAGTTCATTCTGACAGACACG